CAGTTGGTTAAGCATCTGCCTTCAGCTCAGGTCATGATCCCAGAGTCCACACTGGGCTCCGTGCTCAGCGGGGCTTTGCTTCTCCCTCTGCTCCTCGCTCTGCTCGTGCGCACGCTCTCTCTCTCAAGTAAATAAATAAAATCTTTTTTTAAGTTTTTTATTGTTATGTTAATCACCATACATTACATCATTAGTTTTTGATGTTGTGTTCCATGATTCATTGTTTGTGCATAACACCCAGTGCTCCACGCAGAACGTGCCTTCTTTAATACCCATCACCAGGCTAACCCATCCCCCCCACCCCTCCTCCCCTCTAGAACCCTCCGTTTGTTTTTCAGAGTCCATCATCTCTCATGGTTCGTCTCCCCCTCTGACTTACTCTCCTTCATTCTTCCCCTCCTGCTATCTTCGTCTTTTTTTTTTCTTAACATATATTGCATTATTTGTTTCAGAAGTACAGATCTGTGATTCAACAGTCTTGTACAATTCACAGCGCTCACCATAGCACATACCCTCCCCAGTGTCTATCACCCAGCCACCCCATCCCTCCCACCCTCCACCACTCCAGCAACCCTCAATTTGTTTCCTGAGATTAAGAATTCCTCATATCAGTGAGGTCATATGATACATGTCTTTCTCTGATTGACTTATTTCACTCAGAATAACACCCTCCAGTTCCATCCACGTCGTTGCAAATGGCAAGATCTCATTCCTTTTGATGGCTGCATAATATTCCATTGTGTATATATACCACCTCTTCTTTATCCATTCATCTGTCGATGGACATCTTGGCTCTTTCCACAGTTTGGCTATTGTGGATATTGCTGCTATAAACATGGGGGTGCATGTACCCCTTCGGATCCCTACATTTGTATCTTTGGGGTAAATACCCAGTAGTGCAATGGCTGGATCGGATGGTAGCTCTATTTTCAACTGTTTGAGGAACCTCCATACTGTTTTCCAGAGTGGCTGCACCAGCTTGCATTCCCACCAACAGTGTAGGAGGGTTCCCCTTTCTCCGCATCCCCGCCAACATCTGTTGTTTCCTGACTTGTTAATTTTAGCCATTCTGACGGGTGTGAGGTGGTATCTCATTGAGGTGTTGATTTGGATTTCCCTGATGCCGAGCGATGGTGAGCACTTTTTCATGTGTCTGTTGGCCATTTGGATGTCTTCTTTGGAAAAATGTCTGTTCATGTCGTCTGCCCATTTCTTGATTGGATTATTTGTTCTTTGGGTGTTGAGTTTGATAAGTTCTTTATAGATTTTGGATACTAGCCCTTTATCTGATATGTCTAAATAAATAAAATCTTAAAAAAACAATAGAACTGGGGTGCCTGGGTGGCTCAGATGGTTAATCATCTGCCTTCGGCTCAGGTCATGATCCCAGAGTCCTGGGATTGAGCCCCACATCGGGGTTCTGGCTCAGCGGGGAGCCTGCTTCTCCCTTTCCCTCTGCCTCTCTCCCTGCTCACGCTCTCTCTCTGTATCTCTCTGTCTCAAGTGAATAAATAAAATCTTAAAACAAAACAAAACAAACAAACAAAAAACCAAATAGAATTGCCAAGACGATCTTGGAAAAGAAGAATAAAATGGAAGAACTTACACCACCTGATTTCAAGACTTATTATAAAGCAATATCAATTAAGATAATATAGTATTGGGTAAAGGACAGACAAATAGACCAATGGAAGAAAATACAGGTTTAGAAACAGACTCATATATACATTGTTAATTGAATTAGAACAAAGGAACCAGTGAAATGTGAAATTCAACGGGAAAACAAAGATCAAAATCACATCGTAAGTATATGCCAAATGTGGGATATAGTCAAGGCCACAGAAAACACAATCTGCCACAGAAAAAAAGAGCTAAGTTGACCTTTATTTAAATTTAACATTTCTAAAAATATTTTTAATTTCTGACCTTCAAAAGGTGCTGTTCTGAAAATGGAAGGAAAAATTATAGAATGGGAATAAATATTTGCAATATATATATGACAAAAGAACTTGTATCCAGGATATATAATAAAATGCTATAACTCAATAATAATTAAAAACAGACAAAAATGGGAGGAAGGGTGAATGGGGAGTTATTGCTTAATGGGTATGAAGCTTCATTTTATTTATTTATTTTAAAAGATCTATTTATTTATTTTAGTGAGAGGAGGGGCAGCAGGAGAGGGAGAAAGAGAGTCTCAAGCAAACTCCACACTGTCACAGAGCCAGACATGGGGCTCCATCTCACGACCCTGAGATCGTGACCTGAGCTGAAATCAAGAGTCGGACGCTTAACTGACTGAACCATCCAGGCACGCCAAAGTTTCCTTTTTGTGAGATGAAATGGGTTCTGGAGATAGGTTTCACAACAATGTGAATGTACTTAACATTATTAAACTGCACAATTAAAAATATTTAGATGGTAAAATTTAAGTTAGGTGTATTTTGCCACAATTTTTTTTAAACAACTTGAGTAGTCCCTTTCGGAAAGAAGATCTGAAATTAGTCAATAAGCACATCAAAAGATACTAACATCATTAATTATTAGGGAATGCAAGTTAGAAGTTCAGTGAGACATTATATTAGGATGGCCCAACTTTAGAAAATGACAATATCAAGTTGGTGAAGATGTAGAGAACAAGAACTCTCCCACTTTGCTGATGGTACAGTAATAGGATACAGTCACTCTGGAATATAAACTTAAAAACATATATTCCAAAAAAAAATTTAAAAAAAATATATTCCTATGTCCCAGGTATTCTAGTCCTACCTGAGAGTTACAAAAACATATTTCCGGAAATAACTAGTATGAGAAAGTTTGCAGCACCTTTTCCCCCCAAAACAGCTCTTAACTAGAAACAGCCCAGGAGTCCATCAAGAGGAGAACGGATAAACAAATTATTGTTTATTCATACAATGGAATGTTATTCAGCAATACAGAGAAACAATTGCTAGGGATGCACACAATAACAGGGATAAATCTTAAAAGCACTATGCTGAGTTAAAATAAGCCAGACATAAGAGAATACACACTGTATGATTCCATCTGCGTAAGTTTTAAGAACAGGCAAAACTAATCTGCGGTGATAGAAATCAGAGCAATATTTGTCCGGCATGGGGATGTGACTAAGGTATTGTCTGGAAAGGGACACCAGGGAACTTTCAGGGAGGATGGAAATGTTCTACCCTTTCATTTAGGTGATGGCTACACAGGGCAAAACACTCGAAATGATACACTTAATATTTGTGCACTTTCCCATACGAATACCTCAATAGTAAGAAAGTATTAAACTTTTTCTTTCATAGCATTTATTCAAATGTCATTTAAAGTTTGTGATATTTCCTTACTAATATCTATGTTTTCTACTCTGTAAGTCAGGCACTATTCTAATCTCTGCGAGTAAAACAGTTGACAAGACAGACCAGTCCGTGCCCTCATGAAATTTATAGTCTGTAAAGGAAGGAGCCCTATTTGTCATGTGCACTATCTCACTCCCAGCACGGAGCATGGTACTTGGTGCATGTTTACACTCAATAAATATTTGTGGAGTGGCTATGGTGTAGGGAACCAAGGAAAAATTAGTTATCCATAACTCACTCACTCATCACTCTCTTTCCCTCCTCCCTACCCCTGCCCCTGTCTATTTTTCTTCAATATTTGCTATCCACTCTGATGAGTATCTCAAGTGCCTGTATACTGTGTGGACATATAGATAAGGATCATGAGCCTGGAATCCCACAGAAGTAATGGCAGATGGACGTATTCTAGGCTGAATGGAGCACTAGCTCTCCTCACAGGAAGATAGGCTGAGGGCAAGTCAGAGATTTTTCTCAAGACAAGGACTGGATCTATTAATGTGCCTGTACTGGTGTAACTTTGAGATTTTTAGAATTCTGTTTCATTAAACCTGGCCAGTTCACCTTTGGACCAGACAGTTTTACCAGGTAATCCTCAAAAAGCCCGATTTTTGAGTTAGCACAACATTCTCATGGGTCCAACAATATTTTATTTGTCCAGCTGATTAAATTTCTGAAATGAGGATTACTCCAATTGAAACTGTAAACTTCAGTCGAAAGAGGAAAAACCAAAAGGATAAAAAAGAGACTATATATTCTTATCTATGTAATCCAGTCTGGGGATATTTCAGGGGAGTCAATTATTAAAAGCTCAGCAAGCTGGTTCAGATTACCAGGTAATTTAGTTAAAAATTAGAAATAATTAAATGTTATCTTGCCAACATTCTTGAGTTCTTTCATCTGCAGCAACTTAAGATTTAGAAAATAAAGTCAAAGTCAAAGATGTTGAAAAAATTTTTAAGAGAAATTTTAGATTGGAAGCTTCCTAAAGCAAGAGCCTGTATTTTGTATTTCTTGTGCTCTTTCCCACAAACCTTGTCCCAGAATACTTAGCATCATGATGGGTGCTCAACAGCATGTATAGCTTGCTAATTTTCTTACTGTTTGAAATTTCCTGGATATATTTCTACACTGAACATCATTTACCTTTACAATCATAGCTCCCAAATAAAAGCATTAAGTACACAGTTTAAAAAAATAGTCTATTTTAAAATTGGGCTTTATCTACAAGTGACTTCTAGTACGAAAATGAATGGCTTGGTACTAGGAAAAGACTCTTTTGCCTCCTTTTTCCCTTTGGAAGGGACTGGATACTTGGATCTATTTCCTTACATTCCATCCATGCCCACAAGTGGTCAGACTGACAGATACTTCCCAGCTAGTGTCACCCCTCTTCTGAAATTTCTGCTTGCCTCTATTATAGCCCAAGCATATTGCATTGAAAGGGTTTGTTTACACATCTATATCTCATACCAGATTGAGCTCTTTGGGCTCAGGCACTCGGTCTTGCATCCTTAGTATCTAGCAGATGACTGTCATGTACTATCTCCAGACAGGGGCTCAATAAATGTTAAATAAGAACAGAAAGACATGTACAAATATCATCAAAGAGACAAACAGTATCTAAACATTATATGTACTTACAATATAATTGAAGGATGTATCAGCAAGCACTGCAAACTGACGAAACAATGTGTGCCTAGTAAACATCTCATCTTTAAGGACATGGAAGCTAAAATAAAAGAAATGGTGAAATTAAAATGTGCAGAAATCATAAGATAAAGCAAATTAATATTATGTTCATGTGGTTAGGAACTACAATTTTCATTGTGAAAGAGATATAAGTAAAAAATTTAAAATATTAGTATGAATTTGTTACTTCTTTCATTTTTAGTTATTTTTTTAAAGGCTTTATTTTTAAGCAATCTCTACACCCAGCATTGGGCTTGAACGCACAACCTTGAGATCAAGAGTCACATGCTCTACTGACTGAGCCAGCCAGGCACGCTTACTTTTTTCATCTTTAAGATTACATATTTCCCAGCCCTGAAAAGGCACGGAATTAATGAATGACAACCCAGTATCAATGAGCATCTTGGAGCCCAAACTGTAGTTTTGGGTGTTTTTTTTTTTTTTAAGATTTTATTTATTTACTTGAGAGAGAGACAAGAAGACAGAGAGAGCACAAGCAGGGGGAGGGGTAGAGGGAGAGGGAGAGAGAGAGAAGCAGACTCTCTGCTGAGCTCCAAGCCAGACTTGGGGCTCCACCCTATGACCCTGAGACCATGACTTGAGCTGAAGTCAGATGCTTAACCGACTGAGCCACCCAGGTGCCCCCCAAACTGTAGCTTTAAAAACATTTCTCCCTAAAATGAACCAGGGCTTCTTTCAGAAATGGCTGTTTCTAGATCTAAGGCAATAAATACCCAAGTTGAGCCTGGGACATTTTATTGTTAAGGGAGTCATCAAAGACTGTGCCAAAAGAACACAGCAGTCAACCTTAAGAGGGCTCCCATTGACTTAAGATTGGAGAAATTGAGCATCAAAAATAATGAGTATAATGTATTGAAACACAACAAATATATTAAAAACTTGGGAAATTCTCAGCCTATCCAGATGGCAAATGATGCTAAAAGTAGGAGATTCAGCCTCAGAAAAGCATGTTCTGGAGACAAAGTTGCTGGACAACTTTGGGTAGCCACTAGGAAGGAACCAAAAAAGTCCCAGCATTCAGTCACATGGAGGGTCTTAGAAGAGATTGGGTGTGTCTCATGGGCCAAAACCACAATGAGGTACCACTGCATAACTGTTAGCATAACTGAAACCAAAAAGACAGACAATAAGAAATGTTGGATAGGATACAGAGAAATGGGAACCCTCATCTCTTGCTTCTGTAATTGTAAAATGGTGCAGCCACTTTGGAAAACAGTTTGGCAGTTCCTCAAAATGTTAAACATAGAATTACCATATGACCTAGCAATTTCTTCCAGTATATACCTAAGAGAATTGAAAACATATGTTCCACACCAAAACCTGTACATGACTGTTAATAGCAGCATTATATATAGGAACCAAGAAGTGGAAATAATTAAAATGTCTAAAGACTGAAGAATGGGTAAACAAAATGTAGTCTATCCACGCAATGGAGTATTATTTGGCAACCAAAAGTAATGAAATACTGATACCTTCTACAACATAGATAAACTTGAAAACATTATGCCAAGTGAAAGAAGCTAGTCACAAAAGGTCACACAGTGTATGATTCTGTGTATATGAAATGTCCAGAACAGGCAAATCCATAGAGACAGAAAGTAGATTAGTGGTTGCTAGTGGTTGGCAGCTACAGCAATGGGGAGTGGCTGCCAATGGATATGGAGTTCCTTTATGGGTTGATGAAAATGTTTTGATTTAGAGAGCGGTAATTTGTTGTCCAACTCTGTGAATACACTAAAAACCATCCTTTAAAAGGGTGGTATGTAAACTATATGTCAATAAAGTTGTTTTACAGTAAGTTACTATGTGTGCTAAAAAAATGGAAACTTATGAATAAAGTAGAGAGAAAAAAGCAGAGCAATGATGACTTTAATATCACTTTGATGAAGAAAACAGCGCAAAAGATTGGTAAAATTGATAAAAAAATGTGAATTTCTGTACAGAATTGAAATCTACTTAAAAAAATGAGTAGTCATCTTAGAATTGAAGCAATCATATATGATATTAAGAACTCAGTACATGGGCTGAATAGGAGAATGGATACAGAGCACAGACAGGATTATTCATCTCAAAGGCAGATCTATCTATCTATCTATCTATCTATCTATCTATCTATCTATTCAAAGTGAAGCCTAGAGAAAAAAGTAGGAAAAACCAGACAGGAGTGTAAGAAACATGTGGGTTGTAGTCAAAAGGCACAACTTACATATAATTAGAATCCTAGAAGAGGAGAGGCTGATAGTTGATAAGTCTCGACATCTCCGGAGGAGGCCAGGACTCAATGCACTGGCATCATGAATAGGCTGAGGGAAAAAAAACTATCAGCACAGAATTCTACACTCATAGAAAATATTCTTCAATAATGAAGGTAAAATAAAGACACTTTCCTATAAAGGAAAGCTGACAGAATTATTTGCGTGCAAACCTATGTTAAAAGAAAAACTAAAGAGAGCTATATGGATAGGAGGAAGATGATCCCAGATGGAAACACATTGAAAGCAGGAAGAAATAAAGAGCTCACAGAGTAAAAATGTTAATGGAAGTGAATACTGACTACGCCTAACAATAATTGTAATGTTCGATGGTGTTAAACATTTATAAGGAATCAAAATGAAAATGTGGGAGGGGGTTAAATGGAGTTAAAATATTCTAAGGTTCTAGAATTCTTTCCTTTTTTTCTTTTTCATTGAAGTATAATTGATATACACTATCCTGTTGGTTTCAGGTGTACAACATAATGATTCTAAGGTTCTAGAATTCTTGGGGAAGTATTAAATAGAAATTTGTAGAAGACTGTGGTAAGCAAAGGATGTGGGTTAAAATTTCAAAAAGGGAAAAGAATAAATAACTAACAAGTCAATAGAAGAAAATATGAACTAAAAATACGTTGATTAGTCCAAAAAAAGGTGAAAAGGAGAGAAGAAACAGGTCGGCTAAATAAGAAAAAAATGTGTTATGTGGTAGATGCAAACCCAAGGATACCAGTAATCTCACTAAAAGTAAATGAAGTAGGCCAATTAAATAAATAAGATTGGCAGGTCAGATTAAAAATCCAGCTCTATGCTGCTTACAAGAGACACATTCAAATATAAAAACAAGATAGGTTGAAGGAAAAAAATGCACCATGCAATCTTAATCAATGAAGAGTGATACAGTTTTATTAATTCTAGATGAAGGAGACATTAAGCCAGAAGGCATTTTTACAGATAGAAAGGAATGGCTCATAATGATACATATAAATGATAACCTCATAGGAAGATAGCAGGATTCTAAATTTGTAGGTATCCATCAATGTAGCCATAAAATATTTAAAGCAAAAACTGACAGACTAAAAGAGAAATAGATAAATCTATAAGCATAGTGGAAAATTTAATACTCCTGTCTTAATAGTTGGAACTGTAGCAAAAACTTAAGTATATAAAAGATATAAAAAACACAATGGATAAATGACCTAATTGAAATAGATAAAACACTGCACCCAGTGATAGAATTCCTCTTCTTTCTAAGTGTGCATGGATCATTTTTTCAAAATCAACCATATGCTGAGCATAAAACAAGTATCAAAAATTTTAACAGATTGAAATAATTCAGAATAGGTTCTCCGAGCACAATAGAATTAATCTAGAAATACAATTAGACAATCGTCAACTACCTGAAAATAAAACATATCACTTCTAAATAACCCATGGATCAAAGATAACATAAAATAGAATTTGTAAAATGTTTTATACTGAACAATAGTATATAACATGTCAGAGTTTGTGGGATGCAACTCAAGCAGTGCTTAGAGGGCAATATGTAGTCTGAAATGTATATAGTAGAAGAAAAAAAAATCTGAAAACCAATGATTTCAGCTTTCTTCTTAGGAAGGATTGCAAATCATACACAAAGAAAGTAGAAGGAAGAAAATAATAAAGATAACAGAAACTAATGAAAAGAAAACAAATATGAGAGAAATTCAACAAAGGAAAAATGATTTCTTTGAAATAATAATAAAACTAACTCTTAACAAGATTGATCATAAAAGAGAACACATATTATCAATATCAGAAATGAAAAAGGGGACGTTAGATCTTACAGATAATTTAAGCATAAAATATGAAGATATTATGAACAACTTTAAGTCAATCAATTTGACACTTTAGTGAAAAGTAAAATTCCTTTTTATTTTTTTAGATTTATTTATTTATTTTAGAGAGAGAGAGACAGAGAGAGAGAGAGAGTGAGAGCACGCACGAGTGGGGGGGAGGGGCAGAGGGAGAGAATCTTTAAGCAGACTCCTCCCTGAGCACAGAGCCAACGTGGGGCTTGATCTCGTGATCTATGTGATCATGACCTGAGCTGAAACCTAGAGCTGGATGCTTAACTGACTGAGCCACCCAGATGCCCTGGTAAAATTCTTTTAAAAAGACAACATAAATTATGAAATCTACTGGAAGTGGAAGATCAGAATAACTCAATATCTATTTAACAAACTGGATATTATTTAAAACCTTCCTCCAAGGATAGACAATAGACACATGAAAATATGTTCATCGTCACTCACGATCAGGGAAATGTAAATCAAAACCATAATAAGATATCACCTCACACCTGTCAGAATGATTAAAATCAGCAACGCAAGAAACAACAGGCGTTGGTGAGGATGTGGAGAAAGAGGAACATTCGTGCATTGTTGGTACGAATGCACATTGCTGCAGCCACTGTGGAAAACAGTGTGGAAGTTCCTCAAAAACTTAAAAGTAGAACTACCTTACGATCCAGTAATCACACTACTGGATATTTACCCAAAAATACAAAAACATTCATTTTAAAGGATACATACAGCCCTATGTTTAAGCAGCATTATTTATAATAGCCAAGATATGGAAGCAGCCCAAGCATCCATCAATTGATGAATGGATAAAGAAGATATTGTGTGTGTGTGTGTGTGTGTGTGTGTGTGTGTGTGTGTGTGTATTATTCAGCCATAAAAATGAAATCTTGCCATTTGCAATGACCTGGATGGAGCTAGAGAGT